ATTTTCATTCTCAGCATGTCACACTAAGCTGAGAGCAAGAAGCAACACAATTAAATCTGCTCAGGTAACAGTGACATTAACAGCTCAGCTACTTGTGAAAATGCTTTGTAAAACAAGCCATCTTTAGCAAACCTTTGCTCTTGCAGTGAGAGTGAGCCACAAACTGCTTAGAAAACATATTTAGCAAAACTATGTTTGTTCATTTTCCACTAGAAAAATCCCCCTCCTGCCCTAAATCCCCCTCCTGCCCTAAATCCCCATTGAAGTGCCAGGATGGAGGGGACAGCATCGTCCCAGGGCAGCTGCCTGCAGGTGATCACGTTCCGTGGCTGTGGCTTGTGGCCAGCCCTGAGCAAGGACCGCCTGGCTGGAAGGGGCCACAAGCAGCCCTGACCCACAGCAGCATCCAGTGCTGCCCTGCCAGCACCCAAAGTGAGCAGTCTGGGGAAAGGCTGGCCAGGCTGCAGCCTGGAAGAGAACCTCCATGTCCTCCTGGAAACTGGGGTTCCTCCCACTTGAGCATCAGTTTATCACCCTCAGTGTCACAAAGAGATTTGCAGCTCCCTTCTGTCCCAAGGCAATAGTCTAAACATCATCCTACGGGTGTCCTTGCAGAGCCTTGCCAAGGAGTTTCTCTGAGCCTCTGCTCCACCCCTGATTCCCATCCTCTTCTCACCCAGAAGGAGTGGAAAGGCTGCCAGCCCCAGCTCCAGCAGTGTGCTATCCGTGTCTGGGCTCCATGGCAGTGGGCACGGCAGACACCGGGGGTGAGGAAATGAGTCTGTCCCGCTCCTGGAGACACGCTAGAATCACTTATTCATCAGCAAGTGAGTCACTGCCCTTCCCACAGGCTCTTCCTGCAAGCAGAGGTGACAGTGAAATAGGATCCAGTGCCTACGCGTCCCGGCCTACGGGGAGAGCTCTGTGCCATCCTCTCCTCCCTGTGCCATCCCTTCCTCCCTGTGCCATACTTTCCTCCCGGTGCCATCCCCTCCTCCCCGTGGCATACTTTCCTCCCTGTGCCATCCCCTCCTCCCGGTGCCATCCCCTCTTCCCGAGCCCACTCGGCTGGAATAAAAGTCCTGAGAAGTGTGCCGGGGTGTGCTGGGGTGTGCAGGCACACGGGGAGAGGAGCCAGCTGTGTCTGCTCTGCCCAAAGGAGCTCTTTGCCTGTGTGCAAGTATCTGCTGCAGAGAAAAGGGCTGCTCTTTCCCTTCTGGTTTTGAAACATCATTCCTCTATCTCTCAGCCCTGTCCTGAAGCCATTCCCCACCCACTGAAATGACTGTGCTAGTGACCGTGGGACCTCCACAGCACCAGGGAGTCATTAGTGAATCACTGCAATTTCTCAGGTTTCAGAGCCAGGGATTATCTTTATAAATGCACCCAACACTGCTATAGATGAGCAGGATTGGAAAGGTCTCTGTTCTTCAGAAGCTCCAGCATCCTGTTTTGCAGCATTCATCTTCAGGCTAATGAACAGTACAAACCTGCATCCAGAGATAAATTAAAGCCACGGCTAATAGCAGCAACAAAATAAGTGGCAAAAGACTAAATGTAAATAGCTTTGAAAGCTGATACGTTTCAGTGTGACATGATAATGCAAAAAGTGCTGTGCCAGTGCTGCTATTATTTATAATTCCCCAAATGTCTGAATTCCCTCCAGCCAGCATACATTAAGCACAATCCAGGGCATATGCCACAAATCATATTCAATGATGAAAAGTCAGGAGAAAAGCAAGAGCTCAATCTCTCTTGATTACAGCAGCCACAGATTTCTTTTTCATAGACTGCCAGTACTAATGAATGGAGAGGACACAGAAGGAAAACAAAAATACTCAATTCAACGTGCTCCATGTGCCAACAGATGTAGCTGCTCATAAACTTGATTAATTAAATGCAAACCATTGTCAAGAAATGTTGTTCAGGGGTTTTAAGCCCTCACTCTGACTAGCATCCAGACATGGACATGGAAGTATGATCCTGGAAAGCTGCATGGGATTTAGCTCTGGGGTCCTGGGTACAATCACTGCTACATAGGAGGGCAGGAATTTATGAAGAGATCCATTTTTTGGTGGAGAATAGTAGGTCTCCAAAGCCCTGCTAGAGCATGATTTATTCAGTAAGATGTATCTTCCTGCTGTGCCAGTACAACTGGAATACTGCCTCAAAAGCAGAAGCTGGGCCTCATGTTGACTCACAAAAATCTCTGATTTTCAACATGCAGTTTTCTGTCTAGAGATCATTTCATTGCAGACAGTGCTTCCGAGAAGATCTAATATTTCTGAAGTTTTTGAAATATGTTCAATGTTCAGGAAAAGTTTTGAGACCCAAAGGCAATTTCATAGCACAATCTTTGAAAAATCCAGAGGCAGAGGTCAGAGTTAAGCACCACTCGGCTGCAGTGATCTGTTACATGTTCCTGGCAATGCATTATTGCAAGAGGATCGGAATGTTTGCCTTGCAAAGGTTAGCTATGCTTTTAAAATTCACCAGGTCTCAGATCTCCCCAGCCTGAACAGCTCCATGGCAGTGCTGCCCTGACACTGTTAATGACAAAGTGGAAAGCTGTGTGGCAGGGTCTGCACAGCCTCGCAGAGCTGCCTCATGAGCCTTTGGATGGCCATTTTTAGCCTTGCTCGCTGAAATCAAACCTGGCAGTGCACCTGGCAGGGCATTTTTTTCCTGGTTTTGAAGGATGGTTGGACTTTGCTCCAGTAGGTTCAGTGGCTGAAGCAGGGCTGCACCACCACTGCAGGTCAGGCCGAGCTCCTGTCATCACCTGTCTTTGCTTTTTCAGCTGCTACTGACACATTTTTGTATCTAACATTAACATTTCAGTTGTTCTCAGGAGAACAAACCATTATGTATTAGTCTCACTGATGCTGCTCTTCTGCTCTGGTTGGCAATGCTGATTATGTAAAGGATATTTAATGTTGTAAATAATTAAAATTTTATACAAGATTTTGGCTACTTTTCAGGAGTAAAAAAGAAATAAAAGAAAATGTATGCAGTGAATTTGAAAAAATGCTCAAGTCTTCTAGGAAGTGGGGAGACAGCTAATAATATATAATTAACATATCTTCCTTTCTTCTCTTGTTGGTGCAGACATGCCTTTAGATGAAAAGCACGGGAAATTAAAAGTGTGTGGGACTGAATAATGTGGAATTTTATGTAAGTTCAACCTAGTCACCATCTACACATGTTATGGAGAGAGCAAGCCTGCTCCTGCTCAGGGATCTCATCCTGTACTACCTTTACACAGGCCTCCCCCATGGGGCCATGCTGGGGCTTTTCCTCCAAAAGGAAGGAAATTATGGCCTATCTTTTCCAATGAAAAACTTGGAATTCAAAGTGTCCAAAGGAGTACATATTAAAGGGTAGTTCATTCATTTAGAGTCAAACATTTGATTTAAAGTTCACCTCATGTTTCCATCAGACATCCCGAGGTGACACATCACAGCTCAGCAGCCCACAGTCAGGTAAAACACTTTTTAATGTCTGACTGTGGAAGGACATTAGCAGTCCATTGAGGAGGCTCCCGAGTCTTCTGACACGAATCCAGTAAAATATGAAAATTAAAGGTTCACAGACAGCAGCAGCAGATATTCCTGCTGGAAGCATCACTCACCACAGATCCCAGACCAGGCTGTTTCTTTTGTAACCCCATGTCACTTGCACTATGAACAGACGGCAAGGGGCAGCCCTTCACACAATCCAGAGACTTTCTGATGCTAAAAATGTACCCTGGGCTTAATGAGGCAGACAGGATACAGAAGTGCCAGGTGTGGCTGTACCAAACAGGTGCCTCTGTGCCCAGCAGAGGCACTGCCCTGTGCACAGCCCAGTGCCCACATGGATGAGTGGGAATGTCCACTGTGGGACCACCAGCTTGCTAGGAGCAGAATGAGGCTTGCTTCTGATAATTGTAGGTGATGGGATGTACTCACAGATACCTCTGTTGTACTAACACTCATAATTATGCAAATCCAAATAGATAAATGGAGGTGTTTTTTGCTAAGAATTAGAGACTGTTACTTGCATTTTACTGTGATGCACAATCAGCTGGTTTTGTAGCTGCTGGTTTGTAGTCCCTGGTTATTCAGAGACTGCAAGAATTTGCTGTACTGCTCGTCAGAACCATTGATGGCTCCTGGTAGAAAAGCTCTGAAGTAAAGGTCAGGGGCAGATGAGTTTCTCGCTCACCCCAAAGCTGACATTTGCAGCCTTGTAGCCCAGAGTAACAAAGGCACAACGAGCCACAGCCACTTTACAGTCCTCACACCCTCTTATTTCCTTTGGGGAAGCCTGGGCTGGTGCAGAGACAGAAACCCTGCTGCTGTGTGATGAGCACAGCAGTGTTCAGCAGCAGCACGACGCAGTGTCTGTGCTGACCCCAGGGCTGTTCCCTTCCAGGGATGTGCTGCTGTGTGCCCCTGGAGCAGCCTTGGAGAGCAGCCTCACCCCAGGGCTCCCATAACTGCTCTGTGCTGATGAGGAGATGCCAAAACATCCCTCCTTTCAGCACAGGGGGGTCATCCTGAGCCCTAGGTGATTCCTCCAGAGACAACACCAGCTTCAGCTCCACCAGGGGCAGTTGCATCAGTTACAGCAATCACAGGAGGGTTTTCAGTCCTGAGCATAACCCAAAAAGGGCAACAAAAAGCTGCCTCCTGACAATAGGCTTCTCTCAGCACTCAATAAATCCAAAATTTCATCTCCAAATATTTATAAATTCTATTTTTCCAGTCATGTAAGTACCACTGATCCTGCACCCCCTCTGACTGGGCTAAAGGAACAAAGTGAAGCAAGACAAACATTTTAAAGCTCCACCACTTGAAAAAGACTTGAAGTTTCCAAGTCTTGATACCATACATATAGACCAAAATCACATTCTTCTGATCAAAGGACAGCATTCCATTGAGTTCCAACTCGCAGCCTCAAAGATATTCATTTTCTGAAATCAATGAAGACAGTGAGACAAAAGATTTTACTTAAACTATATATTTTTACATAAAACAACTTTATGTTACAATAAAATCAGATAAAAATCACAAAGTTATATAATAAGTTCATAAAGAAAAAAATCAAGTTTTCATTTTATAGATATAAAACCCAGCATTTACTGCTACTAGGAGTCTAAATATTAACATTGACTGTCTATGGTCAATTTGAAAAAAAGAAAGAGAGGATAGTACTTTATTACAGCAGACAAAATGAGGTAAGAGATGTTTTTACAATGATCCAACTGTAGCAAACACTTCAGTTTTCATTGAAACATATACTAAATATAATAAACCCAAATAAAAATATACATTTAGAGCACTGCAGTGTTTTCCCACAGTTGTATATCAACAAATTGTCATTCACTAAACTTTACTTGAAACAGTAAAAACAGGGTGTATGTTTATCTTTAGTACTAAAACCTCATAATAATCTAAATATTTTGGTATAGCAGACCACACTAGTACACTCTCAGAACTTTCAACTACAAGGGATATATTCATGTTAAAAACGATGTGCTTTGTTTGTCATTCATGATGAGACTTATAGAATATTATGTTCATGATCACTATTAGGCAATTAAATGAAAACATCTAAATGCTGCAAAATACTCTTTAACTGAGCATAGCTTCCTCATCATGTACCCAGGTTAATCAAAATCCTGCAAACTTAGAAGCTTAGTTCACTAATCTTATCAGTCTTTTTAGCTAGTATATGGCTAAAATAATTATTGCTGACCAGTGTTAAAAAAACAAACAAACCCAACCCAAACAAAAATACAATAGCAGACAGATTTTTCTCAAGTGCCTTCCTTGTATGTACCATTACTATTAGGTAACTAAATTAACTAACTTTCAAAATGTGCATATAAAATTTTTGGAAGTATAGGCACCTTCATCTGAAGATTGTATGTTCAGGCTACTTGCTTAAAAAAAAAAAAAAAAAAAAAAAAAAAAAAAAAAAAAAAAAAAGAAAAAAAAGAAAAAAAAAAAAAAGAATAAGAGCTAGTATAAAACACAGTAGAAAATCAAAGGCCGGACATCCAACATCCCCCAGGGATGCAAGCAAAGCCCTCCTGGCCAGGACCAGCTCTGCCCACAGCCTGCAGGAGAGGCCTCCTTTGGGAAGCACCTTCATCACATTTATCATTCAACTCCTGACTCTATTTCACTTATCATTTACTGCAGAGCATGGTATTTAAGACATGCAAACTTCACGTCAGTGAAGCCTAAAAGCCTAAAGCCCTGCCCAGCTCCCGGGGCATGGCACAGCATCCATCCCTGGCCAGGCTGTGTGGGCCAGCCGGGGCTCCCTGCCTCAGGTGCGCCTGGATTCACCTTGTGGCTGTGGATTGCTTTTCCTGACACACAGGTGCTCGCTGAACACCATCCATGGAAAGAAAAGTGACCTTAGGGTAGCTTTCTGTCTTCCCATTGCTAAATTGCGCCCACAACCCTGCAGGCCCAGCCTGGGGCTCCTTGCCGCCCCTCAGGCCCCCGGGAGCAGGCCCTGCCCTTCTGCAAGGCCCCTGCTGCTGCTGAGGCCCTGTGCACAGGAACAGCTTCTCCTACTTTTCACTGGAAGTGGCTGCCCATAGGCAGAGCCATGGCTGCAGTGCTCTCCCAGCTCTGTGTGTGGACATTGTCCTTGCACCGACACCACCCCTGTGTGATATGCTGAGGAATTCTGATATTTACAGGCATGACAAGCCCGGAACTGACTGCCCGGACAAAGGTTGTGGGGCTGGTGGATCGGTGTGGCCATCGAGAGCTCATGGGCAGAGCACATCTTTCACTGAAATCTCTGCTGAAAAAATAGAAAAAAAAAAAAAATGCTGCTGCTGCAGCCTCCCCTTACACCTCTTCTCTTCAGATTTAGCACTGGGCTAAGTTGAGCTGAGTGAGGCATTTCACCCTGACAAGGGTTTTATCTTTGTAAATCCACAGGCTCAGGAAGACAGCACTACATTCCTTACAAACCATCGATGCTTTGATGCCAAGATAACTCTTTGGAAGAGCCTAAGGAAGAGCTGAGAAACTCCCACCACAGCAAGTTGGTGACAGTAGCAGGGAATTTTCCTTCTGTCACTTATGACGCAGCCAAAGGTGGCAAAAAATTAATAAGGAAAAGAAATGAACACTTGGGGAAAAAAATAACAGCATAGAGAAGAGAGCAGAAGTCTCTGGACAATCTGTGCTCTGTTGCCAGTGTTCCCTGTGCCCAACAAACCACGGAGCAATCGCTGGACAGGGCAGCTGAGCCTGTGCCTGAGCACCACAAGTGCTTTGGCTGGTACCCTTGTAAGACAATGGCAGTGGCAACAGCAGGCAGGACAGCAGAAACCCTTCCTGCTCACCTTAATTCAATGAGCAGCTATAAAAAATTGTTCTCCCTAAATCACTCACATAAAAACCGAATCAGATGTTTGTCCAGAAAAAAATACATTGTCCAAATAATAATAATTTGTTTTCTGGCCACAGATCAACCCAGTGTAAAACTGTTTTAAGAAAGTACATCTTTTGAATGCTTGGATACAGAAAATGACAGGTGGTGTTGAACTTCTTAAAGAAAAGACAATTTTCTTCCAGTGAGCTCACTCACTAAAGGAGACACCAATTAGATGTAGACAGAACACTGCAAAGTACTGCATTTGCTGAAAATGCACTTCTAGGCCAAACAGAACTACTTGTGAAGTTGAGTCAGAATTGGCAAAGAAAGATTCAGCCAAGTAATAAAAACCCAAAAAGTTTAACCTTCTTTATTCTGAGCTGTGCAAAAAATTTCCATTTTTTCATTTTGAAATAATTTATTCCTAATATGAGACTAAGGTATTTTTCCAAAATGTGACATATCTAATGGAATATTCTTTCCCCTTGAAAATAACTCCATCAATTTTTTATGTCACTTTTGCTTTTATGTAATACGAGGTATACCTGTTTATTTCTCATTTTGTCAAAACCCCTCAAACCCTAGCATTATTCAGCAGCTCTAACACCACCTCAAAGAAGCGTTTCACCCAAAGGTCAGCAAGTCACACTCTGTCCTGGTGTCACAGGAGGCCAGCACAGATTTTTCTTGCTGAAGCTGCCAGGAAGGCAGGATGGGAGTGTGGCAGGACCCACGGGGGTGCAGCTGACAGAAACCCACCTGGGAAGTGCCAAGCACATGTCCTTTGTTAAGGAAAGACCATGTAAGTGAGGTAGGAGAGATCCTGCCACAAAAACCACTCAGAGGGAGGAACCTGTGTCCAGAAAGGGAACTCAGGGTCACCCAAGGTGAGGTACAGGCCCCTGTAAATGTGCTCAGGCTGAGTGGAAGTGGAGCACTGGCCAAGGCATTGCTGACAGGCACAGGGAGACCAGGATTAGCCCAGCACCGTGTAACAAGTAAAACCAAGCTCTGCAGATCCTCTCTTGGACAGGGATGAGTATTTCTTGGCCCTGGCAGTATTTAGGGCCATCCCTAAGAAGGTGTCTGCCAGCTGAACTCAGGGTGCCCACAGGGACAGGTGAAACTTCAGCTGTGCACAAAAGAAGTCAGTGCATCCACAGGATGGTGTGTGCATTTTGGTGGGGGAAGGCTGGCTGTCCTGTCCTGGTGCTCCCATCAGGACAGAAGAGGCATTTCAGTGCTGGGATGAGTCTCAGAGGAGCAGTGTGAGGCTCTCAGCTTGGCACATGGGTTAGTGCTGGGCCACCAGACAGCACCAAGGAATAGGCAGTGTGTGACACCATCAGTCCCCTGGGGTGGGGACAGGGACAGGGACAGGCCAGAGAGGGCAGCTGCAGTTGGTGCCCAAACTCTCCTGAGAGCATGCACTGCCACTCTGTTTTTTCTCTTGAAGAGGAAAAATCCAGTACAAGAGATGGAAAGCTTAAAAGAGATGGTGTTTTGGAGAGTTTAAGTGATTATACATAGAAGCTCTCAACTTACTGCTGTTGGGAAGGAAAAGAAAGAAGGCAATTATATCAAGCCCTTGGAGGCTTGAAGGACAGAATTTCCCACAGCATAAAGCCGTGTACAGGCATCCCTAAGAACTCAACATCAGAGCAATAGCAGGTACATACAGATATATACATCTGGGGCAAGACAGAAGAGACAGGGCAGGGATTTCTTTAAGGACACTCCATTGCTCCTCTGGTGGGCACTAAGCACCCAGAAACAACTGCCTGTGCCACAGCTATGCACTGGCTTAATGTGCCGCCATCAAACTCCATCTGTTTAATTGATGCAATCCCATGGAAACACTTCTCTTGCAATTTAAGAGTGGCTTAATACATTCCTAATGAACTGGATCTGAGATAGACCTGACTAAAGTGGAAAACAAAGATCTGGATTAAACCAAATAATCTAATTTTTTCACAGAGTCTTTTGCATCCTTTTACCCAGCATCATATTAAAAAGAATTTATGTTAAAACAAAGAGAGAAGCCCTAAGATCACTCAGCAGTAAAAGGAAGATAGGGCAGAGTCCTTGGTGTAAAAGCAATGAAGCACTGGGAGGAGCAGGGCCTTGACTGCCAGTATTGCTTGCAGCTCTTAGTTGTGTTATCCTGTGGCTCCCAGCTGATGCAGGGACCAAAAAACAGCATGGGAGGAGAGGAGAAGCAGGATGAGCTGCCTTCTAAATTATGGTGTATATCTGACTTTCTATCAAATAAAAAGACTAAAAATGGAGACTACTTGTGCACGACCACACACTTGCTGACGTCATTTTCAATTTTGAGAAGTCTGATCTAACCCCACATTATACAACTGTTGAATCTTCCATGCTGGCAAAGTCTAATTTTCACACGCCTACATGCTATGTACCTGATTTTTATTTTTATTTTTAAATATCAACAGCCTAAATAATTTTTTTTTTTAAAAAGAGACGTCAATGGTCATAATGGTTATGAAATGTTCTAGCTTTACATCCAATTACATCCATTGTTTCAAAGGAGTAAAAGCAAAAATACTCAAAGTCCATTCTAAAAAACAGGCAATGAAGATAATGTAACAGTAACAGATGAAATGAAAATTCAAGGGACAATTGCAGATCCTATCTCCACCTTGGGGATTATACATTCATCTGCAAAAAAGTATTCAATGCATGTTTCATCTGCAACCCACCTTTCTTTTAAAGGTCACTTTAATAATCAAGATGTGCAAAAAAAAGGAAAAAGCCCTGAAATTCCAAGAAAAGCATGGCCATTTTATATCAGTCCCTGCTGGCAAGCACTAAAACAGTGCTTAGCCAAACTGCCGTCTGAATCAAGCAAATTACAATGTCATGTACACAGAGGCACTTTCCTGAATTAATTAATTAATTAATTAAACACCCTCAAAACAGGTTATGGGGAAAGAAGACAAAGAAGCTGAAGGAAGTCCTGGGGGAAAGAGCCAGGTTTGGGCTGGATTCTCCTCTCTCACCCTTTTTACATCCCTGTCTGTGATGAACTGAACTTCCTTCTCACTGAAGGCCAGGGTATGACCTTGCATTCTCAACACAAGCTTAGAGCTGCTGAATAATCAGTTCAAGAATAAAAGAACATTTCTGCCTCTTGGGTTGAAGGGGGTTTTTTGGTACAACCTAACTTGGTGACCAATTCCTATCCTACTGCCAGAGAAAGCAGAAATCCTAGGAAAGGATTTTAATTTCTCATGCATCTTAATTTCTCAAATTTCTGCCCTGTCAGTCTCTTGGGCAGAAATTTGCTTCTGAGCAACACCTTCCAGTAACCTTATGATGCTTCTCAGATCCATGTCTCCTTCCCCACTGCTGCAGATCAACAACAATCAAGCTGCACGCAGAGGGGCATGAGTCCTGTACAAACCAGCAACATACCACTTTTAAAAACAAGTATCTGGTCCCCAGACTCAGGTGGGCATTTTTCAGAGACGCACATAATGATGGAACTACATGGGTTCAAAACTAAAGGCCAGAGAGAGGTGATGCTACTAAGCAAGAGAAGCTGTTGTCACTGACTGGTGAGCCACATGACTTCACGAGCTGAAACTCATTTCTGCATTGTTGACTTTGTGCTGTATGGGTCCAGGCAAGCACATGAAACCTCTATCAGAGGCTATCTGAAATCCACTGCATTTTTTTGGCTGAATTTGGCCTGATTGACATGGTCCCTAAAGGTACTGGTATCTGTGAGAAGTGATTCTCCTGACTGCAGCTCATCACAGGCACATTTTACAAACTGCAGGGGTTCCAGCTAATCTCTCTGCTCCACCACGGAATAAAGTCAATTCTGCTAAGAGTGCTGATAGTCCGACAAGAAAATTACTTCTTTTCTGTTTCTATGGTTGCAACAGCCCTTAAGAAAGATATAAATTTCCCTGCAACAACTAACTGCATATTCATTTTAAGGTAGATCTAGTTCCAGATTCCTGAGACAGAACCCTCTAACTGTTCCCAACTCCACAAAGCCAGAGCAGCAATACAGAAGGTTTCTAATCGCAACAGAATTCAGTGAGCAGCATGATTGGTTTGGTAAATAAACAAACAAACAAACAAAAAAAAAAAAAAAAAGAAACCCACCAAAAAAACCCCACAGCAAATTTTCAGCCTCTATGTACAAAACCAATGCAAACAAGTGGAACATTCTAGTTATATTTTGTAAAACACACGTTTGGGATCAACAAAACATCAAACATCCAGACCCTAGATTACAAAAAAGATCTATTGCCATCTAATTGTCAACCCCAAGTTTAGACAGTCCTTGTCGAAAATCATGTAATTCATCTATCTTCCCGTCTAGTACATCTAAAAAATTCTTTAATTCAGTTTTAAGGTTGGTCTGCCTATGTTTGTTCTCTTCAACTTCTGTCCTTAGCGTTCTGACTTTCTCTTCAAGATCTTTGTTCTTTTTCTCAGCAGCCTTAAAGACAAAAGAGACAATAAGATGAATCACAGAGAAGGATGAGCAGTATTTCATAAATTAAAGCAACAAATGGCAGCTGGGCTGTAAGAGTTTGCTCCAACTTCTGTAAACTGATTAACACAAGCACCTCTGAGAGCAACTGACATGAGTGTGTCAGATTAAAAACCCACGCAGGAAAGGACACAGATTAACTGGAAAAGATGCTTTGCATCAGACTTTGTCATTTGGTTGACATCTTCAAATTCAGCTGGATTTAAATCGTGAACTGTGCATACATTTGTGTCATTGCTACAGTTGCAGAATTAGACACTGTGCCATCAATTACATACAGAATTATCTACGGTGGTTTAACCTTGGAAAACAAACTTAGGAAATACTGTCTGAGGAATAAAGTTGCTTTATTCAGCACTTTGGGATTTATTGGTATTTTTTTTTTAAATTCTACTTTGCCTGATGGCTTATTTATTGATTGGATTTTACTTCATCGATAAGACTGCTCATTTTTGTTCTCTTTTCATGTATTAAATTACTGCATTTCCACAAGACCCGACTCGAGGAGGCGATGCCCAAAGTCCAGCTGCTGCCTGGGGCAGGGCCCCCAAGCACTGCTGGAATGGGATGTCACAGCACAGGGACACATCACCAGGTGAACTTTTACCCTCGTGCTGAGCAGCTATGCTCATCTGCTTCTTTCCCAAAGCCTGCCCTGCTGCCACTGCAGCAATTACCCCCAGTTACCCCCAGGTCTTGGGGAGCTGCTCGACACACAGTGCAGCTCCATGAGCCCAGAGCAGCAGAAACATGGGACACAGGAAGGTCTTGGGGAGCTGCTCGACACACGTGGCAGTGGTGCAGCTCCATGAGCCCAGAGCAGCAGAAACATGGGACACAGGACAGCCTGGAATTGAAGGAGAGGGATGCTACATGATTCCAGGCAAACCAGTTTCTGCAGTGGAGCTATTTCATCACTCCTTTGCTGGGAATGGCACTGTGTATTTTGCATGTAATTAGCATTTTTTGTTTTTACAAACTGGACCTCTCTTGGCTTGAAACACTGAAGTCTGAATAGAGAAATGCATACAGCTACCAGAAAAAAAAAAAGTCAAGGAAAGGTACCAACTATTTTGAAACTAATTTCACTGCTAACTGTACCTGTAATTGTTCAGATACAGATTCACATTCTGACATTAGCTCTGGTATAATTTCACCCTGCTTTCGGAGCTCTTCCAGTTCCTTTGAAAACATAAAAGAAAAAATATTAGTGCAAGCTTCAATTTAAAACATAATGAAAATTTGAAAAGATGAAATGGCTTTGCATATTTTATTGTATTCTGCACAGTATTTGGATGGAAAATAATCAAAATAACCTGCCTGCATTCCAAAATTGCTAATTTTCTACAAGAATACATTTTTTCACTGAATTTCTTACTTTGCGTTTCTAAAACAGGCAATGTAATCCCATCTCTTGCATGAATTCCATGAATTATATTAATAAAATCTTGACCTAAACCATGTAACTACGCAAATGATGTATTAAATACCAGAGAAATCTGAATGGCTGTAATGCTACAAGCAATTTATAGATGGTAGCAAAGAGCATATTAGACAATTTCAATGACATATGACAGCAAAAAAAAAAGGCCAGTGGCTTTACCAGCTGCACATACAGAGACATCATTACAGAACACTGGTGTCATGGGCTTTCCTCCATGGTACAACTCTGAGAACCACCACCTTCCCCCTTCCCCAAAATCTGTATTTGGTTCTGGCCTCACTACCCAAACTGAGCAGACTTGATGAAGGCAGTTAATGGAAAGAGCAACAGTAGGAATCCATGTCTCTGTTGGAAACTAAGACAACTTGGCTTGAAAAAAAGTGCAAGATCCTCCTCCAGAAACTTCCCATGTAGGTGATGATCTCCAGAGAATGCAAGGGTGTACCCCTGGACTATCTGGACTTGTGTAAAGCATTTGACACTGTTCCACACAGGAGCCTTGTCTCAAAATCAGAGAGATGTGGAATTGGTGGAGGAACCACTTGGTGGACAAGCACCTCCTCCATGAAAAGGGTATCAGCAGCTTTTCTTACATGCAATGCCATGAGAACACTTCATGTGGGTTTGGATTCCAGACCATGAAAGATTACTTACAGGCAGTTTAGAGCTAATTGAGAACATGCTGATGTAAGCATGAATTTTTAAAACAAGTTAGTATATTTTCAGTGTAAATGGAAGACAGGCTTGTAAGATTCACAAGTCGATCAATTTTCTGGTTCATTTGATACAGTAAAAATGTGAATCTTGAGGAGAATTCCAGGAGACAATAAGGGCTGTTCTATATGCTATTCTCACAGAAAGGTTGGGAAGACAGCATTACAATTTCCTTTGAAATAAAGGGCTGGAAACCACTATATTTATGACAGTGTATCAAAATCCATCTCCCTAAACTATTTCCTTCCACCACCACACAGCCCCTTAACAGCAGAGCTTTTAAGAGCACCAGAGATTACAGAGATGCTGCAATGGCACATGGCAAAGTTTACTGCACTGCTTTTCCTCTTCAGCCAGCACACAGCATTTGGTCAGTGTGACAATGCAAAAAAAAGAGCTTCTCAGGATTTTCCCACTGTTCTGGTGTTCCAAGTCATCATCCTCCTTAGAAAAATTAACACCCTGTAATGTCAAAAATGACAAACTGGGGTACTCTAGATGAATCTGAATTTCTCACTCCTGGCATTAGTCCTGAGATCAGAGTGAGCCCATTATCCAGCAAAGCTGCAAACTATGAGCCATGCAGAAAAGAAACAGGGCTTGTTACACAAATGCCAAATTATTTTCTAAGTGATGTCTTTTTAATGACAATCCTGATGTCTACAGGAATTTTTGGCACGGGGAAAGTCAAATGAATCTGTTCTCAGCACACATCTGTCTGGCACTGGGCACCAAGTTTCACCACTGGCTCTTCTACAAGGACAAGTGTTGTGTACATAAAAGCATCCTTTTCTAACCCCTGCCAAATTACAGCGTGCAGCCACAGCACACAACACATCATGAAACTTGGATGGAGAAACACTACCAAACAAGGGACTGTACATGGAAAACCTAGAAACAGGAAACACCCCAAGACATCAGGCTGCTTCTGGTGGTAGGTGAGCCACTCCATAAATTTACACCCAAGGAGAGAAGCAGACAGTCCCACTCAAACAGGAAAATGCCATTTCTGTATTCAGGGCACTCACCAGCTCTTTGTCCTGAAGTTCTGTTTCCAGTTCCTGGAGACGTCTACTCAACTGTGCATTTCTTTCCTTTTCTTTATTTATTTCATTGCACTGTTCCTCCAGTTCTTCAATCTTTAAGGAATGTCAAACATTAGGTGAAATTTTTCAAACTTCTGAAAATCTGGGGCAGAACACAGCTGATGAAATGGACATGGGATCTGCTTCCTAAATCATAGCATTTGATTCACTGCAACCAAATTATCACTTCTTTCCTTCAAAAGAGTCAATTTACACATTCACTAGGAAACCCTGGGTCTGTATTTATTCTCTCTTACAGTCTCTCTTGTAAGTACTCAGGAATGCACAAAACACTGAGCTGCTAAAATAAGTGAAATTTGGGATAAAATCTGCACTTCAGTCCTCTGAAGCCAACACAAGGCTACAAGGAATGGATTTTCTTAACACATTAGGAGAAGAAATCTCTTGGGGATTGCTTATTATTCCAGCTGGTGTATGAGGGGCACAACATCAAAACTTTGGGGGGAGAACCAGTTCAGAGCAACATCTGCTGCTTTGTTCTCTCGCCCAGGGATGTGCTTTGCTCTCTCCAAACCTCCTGCTGCCAGCTCTGGACTCAGCTCCCAAGAGATGCACTTCCCACAGGCCGATGGACCAGCTCATTAAAGAATGTATTTTAATTCTCAGCTTCATGTTGCTTTGGGATTATAACTTCCCTCATTTGAAGGTAGAGTGATATGCAAAAAATTCTGACCCAATTAATAAAGGAGAAGGAACTTCCCAGGGCACTGCAGTGGTGCAATGTGAGCACTGAGCGAGGAACCTGCTTGGGGAAAAACCTCAGAAAACCTCCCTGTACAGAGAAAGAGAGCACATTATACAGACAGCATTGCTGCACAGTCTGGCTGGTCACCAGCATGGGGACTTTGAAAAGGCAGTAAGAGCAGTGGTGTTTTAATAATCTCCTCTTTTCTAGTACAGCTGCTGGGATGTGGCATGTGTTGATGAGAACAGCTTTTCCCTGCAACAGTACAGAAAGGGAAATAACCGCCCGGCAAGTGATGATATTTTCCCATAACACACTGTTCCAGTCTCTCACTTCTCCCCTGTCCACAAGAGACTGGATATAGGAACACAAATCATGTAACAACTAATATTAACTTGTTAATGTAACATCAGTTAATAGAGCTCTGGTTTGATCTCTGCATTCACTGTGCACGCATAAAACATGAGTGAATAAACAGTGAGTACTGGCCTCAGAAAAAAGGGTGTTGTTCCACAAGAACTTTCAGTGCCAACAAGCAACCCAAACCCCCTCCAACAGCTAAACACTACTTGCAGCCTATGACATACAAAAAGACATGAAATTCCTTCCCTCTTCAAAAGCAAACACTAAACAAAAAAACATCCTCACCAGATTGATACAATCTGATCTCTACTTTAAATGCCCTAGTGATCCATCTAAGCAGCAGGAAAAGGATCCAGATTTCCAAAAGCACTTAGGATAAATAGGATGAAAATATCCCTGCAAAAGCAGTGCTCATGGAAACCAGGATCCCCTGTGCCCATAGGGGCTGCTGCAGATAGTAAAGCATTATCTCAGAGATGGTACTACTGACTACGCTAAACCTTCACAGATTTTTGAGTTGTTCTCTGCTGTAGCCATTGCTAACCCTCCATCTTATACAACCAAGAGATGTGCTCAGTAATGAAGGGGAAAAGGCTTTGATGACTCCTGTTGGCAAGTTTCTGCATGAGATGTGCCAGGTGTTAGCGCTGGAGGTCCCAGCTCACAGCCCACAGTGCTGAGGAAATAACTCACATCCTCATTCCCCTGCACACTGCTGGGATTTGCTTCTAATCCTGAGTGGTTCCCAGGCTGGGTTCCTGTGGATAACCACGCCACAATCTCTCCTTCTGCTCATCCATATTGGGCAGTATTTAAGTGAGCTTTGACAGGGATATGCAATAGCAGTCCCACTTTTAGAACCCTTCTGGTTCCTCACCCCAGCCAGCAAGCCCTGCTGACACCAAGTCTCCCAAATCCTGACGCAGGGAACTTCAGGTGATGCAGCAGCTCCTCTGCTCCCTCCCAGCCTGCTGTGTGCAGAGGGGAGCAGCTGCCTGAGCTCCCCATCCACCTGCTCCCCATCCACCTCCCTTTCAAGGCCAGCTCCATCTGCTAGCATACGCAGCAAGAAAGCTGCAGAGATCCCAGAAGAAGACCCCTCCTGGGAGCAGCTGGCTGGAGGGGCAGCTATCCTGTGGGTATGTTCTCTACCTTGCCCCTCAGCTGGTCGTTCTCCTCCTTGCAGGCTGAGAACTGCTTCTTCCAGTGCTCGATGCTGGCCGCCGACTCCTGCAGGGCTGTGGACAGCCGCGCGTTGCTCTCCCGCAGCGACTGCAGCTCCGTCTCCCACTTCTTCACGTTGGATGAACTGGGAAAAACAGGATGCCATGAGGTGGTTTCGCCTTGTGTTCCCGTGAGTTGTTATTCTTTACCTGCCTGCAAACTCCCCCATTAATTTGCTGCAGTAAGAGGCAGAGCACTCAGATGTGTGTAATTGCCTTTAGCCATCACGTTCCTACGGAGAACAAAAGCCTTAATTTGACTGTCTCTGTCAAAACAAAGGGATCTACCAAGCCCAGCAGCAGTGGCCTGTGTCTGGAACAAAAGCCCTGCTGTCAGAGCAGGCTGTAGGGTCCAGCTGCCCACTTGCACACAGGGGTCTCACCCTGGCACTGCCTGGTCCCTGACACCTCCTGAGCTGTGTGGCTGCAGCACCTGGGGCCGGGCACCTGGCAGCCCTGCAGCACAGCCACTGCACATCTGCAGATGGCACAGCTACTCCAAATGGAAGATTTCAGGGGTTGACATGATCTATATTTGAATTTATTTTAATGCTGAGTCTTAACTATAAAAGTGTTACATAATGCTGCAGAATTAAACTACTCATTCCCCAAAGCTCTCAGCTGAAGCACAGAGCACAAGATTAGAGGGTGAACGGGAGGAAGGCTTTGAAACTCCCTGTGTGCTACTTGCTGCCTGCCTGTAGAGGTGTCTCCAGCAAGAGCAATGAGCTCACACTACTGTTTGAAGCAGGTTAAGCTACTGAAATGTCAATAAAGAGAGAAGTTGTACTTCAAACATAATATATGCAACCTTGGAATTGCTCACTGGATAATGCTGCTCACAGCGATGCTTTGTTTTTTAAATACCTTTTTAAGAGTAGCTTGATCTTGTTAGATTTTCTTTCCATTCACAGATACACATTCACATGCCAGCAGCAGACAAGGCAAGATCCCAACAGAGAATTACTCTATTTTAATGTTGTAACTTTGCATATTGCAACGCCTGTATTTTCACTACAGCTGCAAATTACTCTTCTCAGCATTTTCAAATTATTTATCAAAGCAAATAGCAAAAAATATGATTTCAAGGGGCTCTGTCCACAATTTAGAAATATCCCCTAAGACTTCCAAGTGCTCTGATGAAATTATACTTCTCACTTCAACTTTTTATGGTTGAGTTCATTCCCTTTCATAATTTTAAATATCCATATCTATTTTCATCAAAGTAAGTGTAGCAAACTCAAAGCAAGATTTGCTTCACATGTTATCAGCAGCAATTGCTCCCCTATGGCTTTAATGTTATTTCTGTAGTTCTAAAACTTCCTGAAAGAAGATGGTTATAATAGTTGGCATCAGCAGAATGAAAGAGGGCTTATTTCTTCAAAAACTACATCAGGAATAAATGAAATGGGAAATATTTCTCAACTGGACACCAGGAGATACTTGCTAAAGTCTCAATTCATCCATTCTGCGGCACCATTTAAAATTAATTACAATCTGAATAATTTCTGTTAATATCATTATCCATCAGATAATTACAGCACACTTTCCCAATGCAATTTAGGTTCTACAGGAACTTCACCTTTGGGCTAGAGCAAATTTTAATTTATCATTCTCAGATTTGAGATGTGCCTCAGCAGGGCCACCGTGTGATGCCTTCTCGTCGTCTGTGCCATTCACGCTTGAAGCTCGAGTGGAAGATGGTGTTTCACGTCCAGACTCCTGCAGCACAACACACAAACGAACACTGGGTGTCTCCTGCATCTCCTGCAAGACCACAACACCAATTTCTTTGTAATCTTGATCCCACACCACTTGGCTGAGACCTCGGCTCTCCTGGCAGAACAGTGGTAACACACACATACCCTTTTCATCTTGGCTGCAAAGCTGGTCTGTTTAAAAAGAATGAAAAAATTACAATGATATACAAATGGAAGTTTAAAGTGTTCAAAACTTTAAAAAAATTTTTTCCCTGATAAGGCTTGTGTTTTTCAAAAGTTGTTTGGTTTTTTTTAAGATAATGAAACAATACAACACACAAAGTACAAACAAACAAACAAAAATAGTACTGCTCCTCCAAAGACATACTATTTACACACTGCTTGGTGCTGACCACCAACAGAGAACAAACAAAGTGAACTACAAAGACCATGACCAAAGTCTTTACAAAACGAGTATCCAAAGTCAGCCACTCAGATTGATATTTGTGGGTCCCACAAATGGGGGTGGTTGCAAGACTAAAACCATTCTGCAGCTTTTTCTGATCATTCATCTGAATTCCTCTCTGATCAAAATCTGTCTTTCCTCCAGACATTAGCCCAGGCCAGGAGCACCTGCTGAGCAGGGTTCACTCTCACCTAAAGCAATGCACACAAAAATACAGCCAATCCTGCAGAGAGCCTGGGACACGACTCCATTTCTGCAGTTTGTGGGAAATGCAGCCCTCGCTGGGCACTGGGGCACTGGTGGCACCAGGTGTGCTGCCCAGGAGAGGCTACTGTGCAGATACACAACACAGGCTTCTTCCACACCCCCTAAAACCTCCCCTAAACTTCTTCCAATCCCCCTAAAACTCCCACACCACAGCTGCCCAGGGAACACTGGACACAAAGTCAGGCTAACCAATGCCAAATGCCACAGAAGTGGCCTGGACAGATGACAAAGAAGGATATTGATGAATCTCATTTACTGTCTGCTGCAGCACAACACTGACTGACTTCCCAGTGACTCAAACTGTGTTTAACAGTACAAATCAAAGGATGTATAGCTTTCCCTGTTATTAAAAAAGTTGTAACAGCTCAAGGACTGCTGAAAAAATTAGATTTAAATGAAAGTAAAGAGCATGGACGGAAGAAAAATATTCCTCTGACAATGCTAATGTCCAGCAGCTGACAATTACCTTCAGCAATCTCCATTTTATATACTTTAAGCTGGCTGCCAGAAGCTGGCACAGTCCATTTGAAAATTTAACTTTAAATTATTTATCCTGTATGTGTACAGGTATTAAAGCTAAATTACAAACCTGTGAATGATTGCTTGAGGTTTCAATTTTCTCTTGAGATCTGTCTCTTGCAAGTTTTGCAGCTTCTTTTACTTCTTGGAACTTCTCTGCAAACTAGAAAAAGCATGAAATATATTTATTAACATGATTTATCTTCCATTAAACCATTAAGACTGCTACCTTCTCATGGTATAGATGTCCAAAAGTGAACACCTAATTTTATTAATTTAGAATTTTTGGCAAGAAAAAAACATTTTAATTCTTTGGCAAGATGGTTCTTCCAAAAGAAGTGGGGGTGTTTCTGAAAGAGGAACGTCTCTATAACTCTGGCCAACCACAGACCATGGAGGAAAAGGAACTGTTGGTGTCTCCCGGTTTGATTTGGTTCTGTTTATTTCCTCCGCCTTCTCTGCTTCCCTTGGTGTTGACAGTGTATTAAAGACAAAAGTATTAAAGACATATGTTTGGATAAAAATAGTATCAGTGTCTTCTATTCCTAAGAGCAAGTGAATTCAATTAAAGAATGCAAATAAGTTCATCTGCAGGAGATATGCAAGGGATTATCAAGACATAGGAAAAAGGAGAAGGTAGATCTCAATGTATGATGGAGTCGTACAAAACCACAGCTTTTCTGCTCTGATTTTCTTATTACTTCCAAAAATAAAGGTAGAAGACTTCAGATAAAGGCTTGAATGCTTCCTGTAAGAGGGATATATCAGACTGGGAGAGGTGAGGGAAAGGAAGACAAAGAGGGAAGGTAACAATCCCAGCCTCTGTGAGTTGCTGTAGGACATCTGCTCCAAAGCCAGCCTGGCATTTTTGGAATACAAGTATTATCACAGCCAGTCAGGGTTGCAGGGCTTCAAACAGTTTAAAAAGTGTTTAAAATTTGAAAAGGAGGATTACAAGGATGAAAAAGGTATAATACATAATTTGTTTTTAAAATTATGATGTATCCACTGTAAGAACTGGTAACTTTATCTTTCAGCAAAAACTGCTTGGTCTTGCTTGCCAGTGTTTTAAGAAACTTGAAATGCTAGAAAGGCAAGACATTTTAAAAGTAAAAAATATAAACAGATGTATTTATTGCAGTTTGTGACAAAAGGATTGCCATTATACTCTCGCATAATACAGAACACTTATTTACAGAAAAAAACCTGTAAATAAAAGCATGAAAAAAATCCAAATTTACAGTTGAAGAATAGAAAGAAACATTATTCACTTAGCAATCTTGCCTTCTAACCTTGGATTTACAGCAGGTATTTAGCATGCTCTCTCAGTAAAACTTGGACTATAGAGACTGATTAAACAAATCTTCTCCATTTGGTCTAAAAGAAATCTGGATTTACACGTGTAACACACACAAATGGCAATTTCCAACACACACACACATCATGGTTAACCCCCAGGGACGAGCACGTTCTGGAAGGTGAGTGATGCCCTGGGTGCACCCTGTGCTGTGTGGCAGTGCTGGTGGAGGAGGATGCAGCTCTGGGATCCAGCTGCTCCTGCACCACAGCTGCCATTGCACATGCAAGGCGTGTGCCCTGGGATGGCAGCAGCTCCAGCTGATGGCATTGCAGTCACTACACGCACAAATGACTTGATTACCTCTCCAGCACTCCACAGATCGTTAGGAACAACCACATTACATTCGTGCCTTTAGTGATTGAACTCTAACTTTACACAAAGCATCTTTCCCGCTGTGACAGAGCAGCTATAACCAGCTGATTATTTCTAAAATATTATATCAACAGTAAGTTCCACATTTGTGTTTCTTGTGGATAGTGCAAGGCTGTTTTGAGTCTGTCTTTTATAATAAATCTTTCTCTTTTACGACAAATCTCTTCATCTTATGTATGAAAAATTTATGAGGGTTCTTCATGGATGATACGAAATATGAACAGACAAAAAGAATTGGGAGTGATCTATCAAATTTTATTTTGCAGCTATCTTCGTAAAGCACACAGGAGACTGCTGTGAAAAATTATGTGAGCTGGGAAGAAAAGGACGTTTTTCCACATTTCCATAATAAAAAATTGCATATGATTGAGCAACGCTTATCTTCAATACTAACCCAATAATGATCTCATTGCATAAACGATGTCAGCCATGTCTCTAGTTCACCAACACATGCATTGAACACATTTGCATTTAGAAAGTGATTGCTGCTCTGAGAGGGGCAGTGCCAGCCCCAGCTCTGCAGCACTGCAACACCCACTGCACAGGAGCAGAGCAGGAGGTTCTGGAGCCACCCCCAGCTCGAGGCTGTCAGACAGCGTGGCACAGCCACAGGGCCAAATCACCAGGAGAAATCAGATTTCCCTCTAGTAACCAACTGCTTCTGCCCCAAACACAAAAAAGTGGTAATTGGTATCACAAAATCATGCTCCACCTCCAAGGTCTAAGTTGAGTTTGAGCCATCAAACCATTACAAAAAAAGGGAGCAGTTAATGAATGTCAAATTCCTAATAAAAAGTGTGTTCAGTAAATGAAAACTTGTTAAGTGTGGTCTCGAGGGGCAATGAAAATCTAAATACCCAAAACCAACTACAAGAATTCATCATGCTTCTTCTCCTTAGGTCCATGCTTCCCCTCTGGCAAAGATCCCAACATCAGCAAAAAAACCCCACAAAAACTGCAACAGGAGAGTTGCCAACTGAATACCACCCCAGCAGTCCATCATGGATTACAGGACATGCCTTCCCATGCCCCAGGAAGCTGTGTGACTAAGCTGCAACACAGAGAAGATTTGCTGCTACCAACACTTGTGAAGCTTTCTGGTCAAGCAGCTGCAGCCATGAGCACTGCTTGATTAGGAGTCTTGGCCAGTGAAATTTAATGGGGACTCGAGGATGCTGCTGTGCATTGCACAAATTATTTAAAGGCTGTTCAAATCCACAGTCAGTTTATCACCAGGAGAAATATATATATATATATATATATACACATATATATTCAAATAGACCTCCTTAGCATTTTATACATTAAAAAGCATGATTTTTTTTTATGCATAAATTTTAAGCTCCTGGTCTGGCATTATATTTTATGTCTCCTACTGACAAATTGTGCCAGTATCGGATGAAACAGCTGCTCCCACCCAAAGCAGGCTCATAAATATTTCATCTCCCTCTGGGTTTGCAGCAGGCTGGGTGATGTGACAGCCCTGGGGAGCACTGCTGTGCCCTGACCCACAACACACACGAGCTTCTCCCGTGGCTCTCCTGGGATGAGCCCTCAGCACGGGGCAGAGGGGCTCCCAACAAGATTATTTACCCCAGAAAGTGCTCAGAAATTTGCTCTGTCCCAGCCAGGGTGTGTCCAGCTCTGATGCCAGCTGCTGTGTGCTGGGGCAGGGCAGGCTGTGCCCCGAGCTCGCTGCCCTGCAATGCAGTGATTGGCACACATAATGTGCAGGAGCGCAGAGAAATAAAGTCCAGGGCTTCCCAGGGGCCAGAGGCAGCTGCTTTATGATGTGCAAAGTCTGGCTTTACTGGGTTTCTCACCCGTATAAATCTTTGTCCCTATGCCCTTGACTACCTGCAGCTCCTCGTATATAGCACGGCTGCCTCAAAGCACCCTGAACGACAGCAGAAACCTTCCTTAACCACTTGGTGTGCAAAATTCAGCACCACCTGTGCAGCACCAGCCCTGCCTTCCCACCCCCACACACGCTGTCCTTTCTGTGATTCCTGCCTCAGTTTGGCTGAAGCAACATTTGAACGATGCCTTGAGACCCTTCTGAGGCACAGGGGAGGGAAAGGAGGGTCAGCGAGTTCTGCACAGGGGGAAAAGGACCCTGAGAAGGACATCAGCTTCAAGCCCTGGGATTCTCCCAATCAATGGGAATGGTAATTAGGTTACTGGGTCACAGAACGCAGTTTTCATTAACAGCTCATGTTTAATTTGAACTGCTTTTCCCTACAGGTATGGATTAATGCTTTAAGTATCTCAAGAGAAGCAAAGCATTAGAATGAGGCAATATCTTTTATTAGGCCAAGCAATACACTTTAAAATGCAGGCATTTTTAGGCATGCTAACCTCTTCTCCTGCCTCATTATTTTCTGCTGCTTTCAACGGACATTTTTCAGCTTTATTTATTTATATTTATTTTAAGCCAGGGCTATTGATCTCTGGTTTAGGGGGTTTTAGTGTGCCCTTCCAATTCCTGACTAAGCACTTCAATTATTTCCTGTAAAATAGCAAGCTTTAATTTATATCTTTTATAAGAGCATAACGATATTAATATAAAATGAAACTTGATTTTACTATTCCCAGTACACCTATATAGCTGTAATCTCACTCTCAACTCTGATCTTTCTTACTAATGGCTCAATAATTAAACTGAGAAGTACAGACAATAAAGAAGTATCTTTGTCCCGTTGCTTTGCATGGTGATAATAAACCAGGTTTTCTTATATTTTTCAGCTAGGTAATGTCAGAGTTTTGGTTTTTGTTTTTTTTCTTTTTTAATAAATCAACTCAATCTATTTTTAGAAGCAGCCCCCTTAAGCTCCCTCTCAATATTCTGACCAGAATAAGTCTTTCTGCTGATTTGGAAAGCCTTTCATGCAAGTAGAAGGTTGTATTTTGGGCAGTGGGCTCTTCAGCAGATCATGCAATGCAAACAAATGTACAAAGTGACCTGGGAAGAAGCACAGCTGGGGCTGGTGCCCCTGTACATGACATGTTATTCACACTGGCTCTAGACTGGCCATGTGAACATGACAAGCTGATGTCTTCTGAGTATGCATTCCTTCTGAGTGGGTTTGATAAGGTCTGCAGAACATGGTAAAATTTCTCTGATTAGGGTCAAGGTCCTCCAAACGTACCTCCTGCCTTACTACAGTGAACTCAGTGCCTTTTTTTATTATTTACCTCTCTTCTCCTGAGCCAGACCCAGCACCACCTGCCCCATGTGGCACATGGTGCATGTTTAGCCCTAATCTGCCACTGAGGCACCGTGGGGTCTTGTGCCATGTTACAGAGGTGTAACTTCAGTAATCCAGGATTAAAAACTACTATCCAGAGGTGCTAATTCTCCCATTCAGTGTTCAAAGGCTGCATTATAGCATGGTTATCTGGTACTCAAAAAAATGATTCCCCTAGGTCCTTTTTAGTCCTTCTCTATTCCCACACATCTTATTAGCTACTGTGAACAACGCTTTGCCCCAGGAATGAAGAAAATGCATAGGTGAAATGAGCAGTCCTGTACACCTAAGTAAGCACCATAAAACATAACCATCTCCAACAACTCATTTTTAAACAAGCTTTGCACATCATGCCTTTATCATCCCTGAAGAACAGATTAATGCCATGGCACTTTCATGGGCATCCCAAGTCCTAAAATAATTTAGCATATGAAAAGTAAAATAACTTTTATTTTTAAGAAACACTTGCAAAAATGCAATTCTCTAGAAATTGCAAAAACATATTAAGACAGACTTACTAAAATAAATTCCTAAAACAACTCACTTGACAGGGAATTCCTTCTAGTGCAGTGCTCTGCCTTTGCTGCTTTAGACACCACAAGAAACACCTTCTTCTCCTGATCCTTTTCTTATTAAAGCACAGGAGAGGACAGCAACCTGAGAGGCTGTGGCATGCCCAAGGACACCCTGCTGAGGTCACTTATGGAGCCCAGTGCCAAGCAGCCAATGCCTCAGGAGTCAAGTATGTGTGAGATAAGTAGGGCTTTTTACCACATGAACAAACAATCATCTCAGCTGCCTGATAAGCACTTGTCAAGACCACTACTTCAATGACAGAGGAGTATTTTCAGGTGCTGGTTATTCAGAACAAGAGGCTGCTCTAGCCTTTACAAGCCTGCTAATGTACCCAGTCCCTAGTCCAGGGAAGTGTTTCATTCATACCAAACTCAGGATGAGGAGTTTGCTGCTAATGCAAAGGCAGCTTTGTCAGCAAGCCTGACATCAGCTCTCCCTGGCTACTCATCCCCTGCCAGCAGCAGCAGTGAGGGCAGTGTGTGCCACCCACAGGCAGTGGTAGTTCCAGAGATGGCAATTCTGGTAATTCCAGAGATGGCAGTTCTGGTTATTCCAGAGATGGCAGTTCTGGTAATTCCAGAGATGGTAACTCTGGTAATTCCAGAGATGGCAGTTCTGGTAATTCCAGAGATGAGCAACCTGTACTGCTGAGGAGGACCTGCAGTAACACACGGGTTGGAGACGTGCCACGCTGCATTACCAAGGAGCAGGACAGCCTTGGCAGCCATGCAGTGAGCCCCGTTACCTTTGTCAGCTGCTGCTCAGAGGGGAAGCCCAGCCCGAACACGGTGTTGGCTCTGCTGTCTGCCCACTGCCCAAACTTCTGCGACGTTTTGGTGAAGGTCATGTTGGGGGTGATGGTGCTGTTTATGATCACCTGGTCACAGACAGAGCAAAAAAACCAAAAAAGAATTAAAACGTGCAAGTCACATCGGAAATGCATATCCTAGCAACGGTATCATCCAAAGCAATTAGCAGTCTAAATTGGGAAATTGCTGTGTTTAGATTTTTTTTTCCCAAAATAAAACAGTTGTTTTATTGTCTTCATTCTTGCAGGAGTTCTCATGCTTTGTCTTGTTTTTCAAAGTACCATCACAGCTCTGCAGTTAAACGTGGCTGCAGGAACGTCACTGAACTCAAAGCAGGGTCAGGAGGAACAAAACTGCTCTGGCAGAAATGCAGATGCAAAATCCTTTTTTTTTGCATTAGTAAACCATACAGCCACTGCCCCAGGAGGTGCCTGCTTGAGCCCTCCAAGCAGGGCACCCCCCAGTAACACCTGAACTCACACCTGAAGGGCAGAGAGATATTTCTGCATTTTTGCATTTGTCTCAGGCCTCCACAAGTAGAATGCCAGAGACATATCAGAAGTTTCAAACAAAACCAGACAACAAAAAGCAAGACAAGAAGAAGCTGATAGCTTAACAGGTAGTTTAACTTGGGAGGGTGGTGAAGTGCGTCACCAGCAATGCATATGCAGTATCAAATTTGGGCCTTGGAACAAATATTTTGCCTCTTTACACATGTTAACTAATATCTGCTTCATCACCAGCAACCCTAAAAGCAACAGTGGTTCTTGTAACTAAAGAAATAGCCAACAAGAGGAAGGCTGGTGGATGAAATCTTTGAGGAACTTAGTGGAGCAAATATAAAATGTAATCTTGCTAAGAGGAATGAGGTATATGTCAGTTCATTATCAAAATCTTATTTTCAAGATACATCATTATATTAGTCTAGCGACTTCTTCCCTTGGAAATTAATTCATGTACAATGTTCTTTCTGCTAGCAGAACAAGAGCTTTCTTTAGTAATGCGTACCATCATTTCCAAAATGCAAATTATGCACTAATTAAGCCCAATCTGTGGGACAGTTTAATTAACATGATCAGGAAGTATCCTGGCAACATCATTTACTATGTATTCCAAGCAGTTTTCTCCTAAGCTATCATTTACATTTAGCAAAAAGTGTGAATCAAATTTACCAGAGGAAGATCCTCACTTGCTTCTATCCCGTCCCTGACTTCGGACCACTGTGCTGACACTTTCATTTGCTTTCTTAAAAATTACTCAACTTATTTCCCTCCTTTTGCATCATCACTTTCAATCAAACCTACGATTTTCTGCCATTCCCCACCGCTGGAAGTTTCACCAGAATCAAGACAGAGGAGAGCCAGGTGAGTGGTACTCCTGAAACTGTCCTTTGCACGGGAACAAACAGAGCAAGAAAGGGGGAGAGGTGACCCTGCCACCAGCACAGGTCAGCATCAACAACACAGAAGCTGTGGCTGCTCCATCCCTGGAGTGTCCAAGGCCAGGTTGGATGGGGCTCTGAGCAGCCTGGTCTGGTGCAAGGTGTCTCTGCCCATGGCAGGGAGCTGGAACACAATGATCTTTAATGTCCCTTCCAGCCCAAACCACTCTGTGACCAGCCTTCAGGGTCACACACCTCCTTGAGTGGCCAGTGCACAGACAGAGGTAGGAGCAAAGCTGCCCAGATGTGTTCTCCTCCAGCTAAGTTGTGCCATAGGAACAGCCAACATAAAATCTAAATGTCATTTCAGTAATGTAAATTAAAAGAAAATCAGAGGTTTTATGTAGGGGTTTGACAATGCAAAGGGACTGTGATAATACAAGGATTGTATGGTACAGAGAGCCAAAAGAACAGGAGGAAAAGCTACCACCAACCCCAAAATTCAGGGTGCTTTCCAGAAACTTTAAAGAAAGTGCTATATGTATATTTCTGCTTTTAAAAAATCCTACATCAGACAGATGAACCACTTGCAAATGTCTAGCTTCTCAAATTACAGAATTTATTTTAAAAACTAAAAACTTCCCAGAAATTTCAAGTCATAGAAAGTATTATTTCAGTCCTGCTGTGCCTATCAACTTTGAGATCTGGGGGGAAAAAAAAAACAAAGTGACCAGTTTGACTGAAAGGCAAAAGCTTCACTCACTGATAGCTGACCCTGAGTAGAATACAATTCCTCCATACCTCCTACAATAATCACCGAGAAAATACAAACATATTAAAAAACCACACTAAAGTTATCTTTTACAAGACAGTTCAATATTATGAGACATGACAAAAGCAATAATGAAGGCTGCAAACTTTAAACCAAGAACACCTTATTGAGCAATGGAATGCACTACATTAGCTGAGCACCTTAGGAGTTTTTTTCTACGGCCAGTGGAGAACCCAAGGAAAGGCTGAGGTGAGCACACACCTCCGAGAAACTGACAGTTCAACTGTTAAATTTATAATTAGCTGCCATTAGTGAAACTGCCTGGAAGCTGTCTCTACCTTTCCCCTTAAATCCTCCTCTGCCAGTCAGGCACTCCAGAAATGCTGCATTCCTACAGAGAAGTGAAAACCTAAGCAGAAGCTTAGGAGATTAAACCAGAGCTCATGTTTCTGTGAGTTCAGAGGAGATGGATGCTGTGGGTACATCACACTTATTCACCTGCTCCTCCTGCCCATCCTCACCCCATCTGCACATTCACTCCCCAGATCTGGCCATCATTTCAGAGCAGCGACACCCCACTGGCAAGGGAACAATCATGTTGGCTGTGTTTAGGAGAAAGAAAGGCTGCTGTGATTTCAAAGAACAATGAACACTGAGGCTGGCAGGTGCTCCTGCCAGGTAACACAGCCTGTCCCCACTCCCGTGGCAGGGTCACCCTTGGCTATGTGGGACCAGCAGGAGAGTGCTCCCCACCACTCCTCCATCCTCTGGGCACATGGTCTCAGCTGGGGCAGGAGGCAGGGGGAAGTATTTGTGACCACCACAATGGGAAAGGTCAAATAAACTGGGAAATTTTTCTTTTTCTTTTTTTTTTTTTTTTTGTGAAAGTATGAGCCAGAATTTTCAAATTTCAAAAGAAGGAGAGAAGTAAAAGGGCACTATTTTGCTGCAGGCAGGATGAGCCATCAGGCTCTTTTCCATCCCTACCTGCAATCCAGCATGATAATCCTATAAGAAAAGGCCACTCATCAATTCAAATGAGCCCTTATGGAATACTTTGCATTTGGTCTTCATTTGTATAATACACACACAACGAAATTCCAGCTGCACCATAAAATGGAATAAACTTGTGGACTTTCATCCAGGATAATGGATTCAGAAGACAAACTACTCTCTAATCAAATGCAATCAATCCCTGAAGTGGTTAAAGAGTTCTCCCTAAAGACAAAGGCAAAGAGAAGTATAATATAATAAGCACCTTCCAGAATAATAAACCCATTCATCATACTCACTTGTCTACATGTGGTTAAAATAAAATCTGCCTTTGCGCTCACCTACATGCAAATGTATCAGATGGCAAACATTCCTGATACACCTGCATGAGCCAAGCAAAATCTCATACTAATTTCACTTCCTTTGGGAGAAAATCAAACCTGAGAGCTGAATTTTTATCTGAAGGTGACACAGAAGTATGTTCACAGCACAAGGTAGTGCTACCTCACCCTGAAAGACTCCAGACATTTCGGAACGCACTGGGTGCATTCATCAGATAAAAGTGAATGCAAATAGGCTGGTGTAGAGCAGAACATTCATGGGCTGAAACACACCCATCCTGCTGCCTTCCCACCGAGAGAAACTGCCAAATAAATCAAGAAGGAAGAGGTCACAAGACTCCCTGAGTGCGTAGAAGGAGGAAAACGTGCTGGCAGCTCCTGCTGCTCACAATGTACGAGCAGAGCCCACAAATGCAGCTGCTGCTTCTTTTAGGGGAACACTTGCAGTACCTGAAGGGCTCCACTCCTGCACACCCTGTAGCACAGCAGTGCACGGAGGGGAAAAGCCCGTGTGGCTCCTGGAAATGCACTTCCCAGGCTGCTGCCCTGGTGACACAAGGTGAGCAGGCAGGCTGGCAGCTGGGGCACACGGGGCTGGCTCCAGTGCACCCTGATCCCATCAGCCTTGCCAGGCTCACAGGAGGGAAAAGCTGAGAGAGAGCAGCTCCAAGGGAGGAGAGCAGTGAGTGCAGAGGGCATCTGGCACAGCCACTGGCACAGCCCCCAGGAGGAGGAGGAGGAGGAGGAGGATGGACACAGCAGGAATCTGCCAGGACACGCACCCAAGGGGTGATGAGCCATGTCAGCCAGTCCTGATGGCTCTCCAGCTTTTCTACCTTTCTACCTTTTCTACCTTTCACCAGCTTTTCTACCTAGGAAAAGATTGAAATAACAGCTATGAAATAGCTAATAAATGTATTGGCCAATGTATTTTCAAACTGTATTAAATTAAATCAGGAAAGGACACCTTATTCTGGGACAAGAGTGCCAGATTAGGAATTATTCTGGAATTTCCTCTTTAAATTCACATCACCTGTTACTCTGAAATAATCACACCTCCGGAAAAGCCCCAAGGCTCCAAGCCATAAGATCTGCTCCTTAAGACTATACTAAAATCTCCCCATTTCATTTTCACACCTCTGAATATGTGCTTCCAGTTTGCAGCCCTTGTGAAATTTAATTTCCTCAACCCACCAGGCTGCTAATCTTCAGTAAAGATGTATCCCAGTCTAAAAACAGAATTGCAGAAGGAAAGAAGCTGCTAATCCTCTGGCCATAGCTATCACAGGCTCAGCAGGTTCTTCCAGCTCATCAGGTCGACATGAATCAGAAGGGCTTGTGACACAGGATGTGAAGACGAGGAGTCAGAAGTGGATTTACAGACAAATTTTATTCCAAATATTCAGCAACATTTCTGTGGAATTAGCCCACCTACATTTCCATGATCTGTATTATCCTTTACACTATCTACCACATTTCCTACCTGTGTCTCTAGACAGAATGTAACATTTTTTCACCAGGATGTAACTGGTGATAAACCACTCGTCTCATTTCTAGTCCTAGAAAGCCTGTGTGTGTACA